GTCCGAATTTTCTTTTAATCTGAAAGCAAAAAAAATTAAATTGCATGAGGAATTATATAAAAACTAAATCAAAGCACCTTGTCTGTTTTATTCAATGAAATATGCATGAAAGAAGGTTTGCTGCTTAAATACACAAATTATATATATATATATATATATATATATATATATATATGTTTTTCTGAATAGGCCTTCCTCTCTTTTACTAGAATCATATAATTGATATCGTGATATAAATATAAAAAACGTATCTCTTCTTCAACTAATAGAGCGGAAAATTGGTTTCATGTAAGTATTTATTTAAGTCTATCAAGATAGAGTACTGCTCGTTCAAAATCTTCTTTGATATGATTCAGCCGATAATGTGTTTCACTGATGCCAGCGGGAGGATCAGCCTCCATCTGAGATAATCTTTTGGTCATGGGTTCTTTAGTGTTGGACTTTGAAGAGGATCAATATAATCTGATTGGTGCCAGTAGAGAACTGGATGGCGCCATAGGAATAATTATATGTTTTCTCTGCAGTTGGGAGAAGACATTTTGCACATCATTGAACTGTGCAGGTGCGTTAAAGATAATCAAAAGGGTTTTGCTTAAATATACAGTTTGAACCAAATGCACCAATCGAGGAATTAACCAAAATCAGTTTCTTTTTTTTTTCGTTCCTTCAAGAAATTCATAACATTCTGAATTCCATAGATGTCAATAGTAATTTTGAGTATATCCGTTTTTATACAGGAAACATTTGTATCTGTCTATATTTCTGAGATGAGGTATTATGTACATTATTTACATTATTAGGACTATTGTCCTCATCTTTGTCGCCATATTTATTACAACGTTTCAGGCCTTTCAGTATCTGTCTATATTTCTGAGATGAGGTATTATGTACATTATTTACATTATTCGGACTATTGTCCTCATCTTTGTCACCATATTTATTACAACGTTTCTGCCTTTCAGTATCTGTCTATATTTCTGAGATGAGGTATTATGTACATTATTTACATTATTCGGACTATTGTCCTCATCTTTGTCACCATATTTATTACAACGTTTCTGCCTTTCAGTATCTGTCTATATTTCTGAGATGAGGTATTATGTACATTATTTACATTATTCGGACTATTGTCCTCATCTTTGTCGCCATATTTATTACAACGTTTCGGCCTTTCAGTATCTGTCTATATTTCTGAGATGAGGTATTATGTACATTATTTACATTATTAGGACTATTGTCCTCATCTTTGTCGCCATATTTATTACTACGTTTCGGCCCTTCAATATCTGTATATATTTCTGAGATGAGGTATTATGTACATTATTTACATTATTCGGACTATTGTCCTCATCTTTGTCGCCATATTTATTACAACGTTTCGGCTGTTGTACGCTCCGGCCTCAAGGACACATGGCGCTGTGGATAAAGGCGTTGGTTAGATCCATTGACAGGACCCAAAGAGTGTGAGTTCAATACCTGGTTAAGGCAGTGGAGTACTTTCAGAGAGAAATTAACAGGAGATAACTGATAACTGGCATCCATTAAACATCTCACGTGGAACTAGAACAGTCTACCCCATCGATCGAAATAAAGGGTTTAGTTCGACATTCCAACTAACTGAAGAAGGCCGGAGCGTACAACGGCCTAAACGTTGTAATAAATATGGCGACAAAGATGAGGACAACAGTCCAAATAATGTAACTAAGGAAACAGTAGGCAGTCATATCCCGAGCAGTGAGTGTTCTCATCGATTGAAGTTTACAGAAACCTATAAAAATATTTCAATGTTTTCTTTTAATAGTTTCTTTTTTTTTTTTTTTAGGGAATTAAACTTTTCAAGTTGACGAAATATTTAAGCTCTTTCTAATGTCGATGTCAGTTTTATCTTAGACCTTTTATTTTTTAGGTTTTGTCGAAAGTTAACAGTTTGATTCTAACACTTTCACCGTGTGCCAGGCGTGTTGATCCATTTGGAAGTCTTCAAGTAATATTGTTTTTGTTATTTGGTAAAGCTGTTTGCAAATATGTAGCGCCAGTCTGTATGGTTTGATGAAATATAGTCTTCTTTAAGATTTATACGATTAATTCTTTTGAAATAATGTTTAATAGTAGACTTCTGAAGAATAGTTGTATGCAGACGATAGTTTAAACATACTTTAAGACCTCATTTATCAGGTCTTTAACAGCAGCAATCACAACACAGGCAAGAGCATCATTCAAAGCATGGCTGAGAGTAGCACCAGCAGTTGCAACCTAATCAGCAGATAGGTTAGGTTTAAAGCTGAATTTGGTGGCTCAGTGATTGTTAGTTTAATCCCTGGGTCGGGCAGTGTGTACTTACACTTAGTGGAAACGAGCGAGAAACAACTGAACCGTATTAAATAAAAATAAGAACTAGGCGATATTCCTAGACATGAACAGTGAAATGAGAACAGTCTACCCCCTTCAGAATTCCCTGTAGGTTACCCAGATTAATATCCACCGAAACGTTGTGATAAGAACAACAAAGAGGAGAAAAATCGTCCGAATATAAAGTGTAAATTCATAATGTCTCATGTAGAAATTTGACAAGTATTTTCACTGCATTCCACAGGGGCTGATGACTAACCTTCTCTCTCTCCAGAAATGATCGGCTATGCCCGATTTCATTGTCTCGCCTCTCGCTTTTTGAAGTTTCTTCAGCCTTGCTTTTACGAATATGTTTTTTCTATTTTTTATATTAGAAAATACTAATTGATAAAGGCGATGGTTTATAAATTTGGTGACATCATGATTATGAGTTCAATCCCTGGGTAGGACGGCACTCAAACTCGGTGGAAGCGGACGACCAATAATTGATCAGTACTAAATAAAAATAAGAACAAGGCGATATCAGTTCGACATTACAACCACCTGAAAAGGGCCGGGGCGCACAACGGCCGAAACGTTGTAACAAATATGGCCACAAAAGTTGAGGAAAATAGTCCGAATAATGAAAATAGTGTACATAATACTTCATCTCAGAAATATAGACAGATACTGAAGGGCCGAAACGTTGTAATAGATATGGCAACAAAGATGAGGACAATAGTCCGAATAATGTAAATAGTGTACATAATACCTCATCTCAGAAATATAGACAGATACTGAAAAGCCGAAACGTCGTAATGAATATGGCGACAAAGATGAGGACAATAGTCCGAATAATGTAAATAGTGTGCATAATACCTCATCTCAGAAATATAGACAGATACTGAAAAGCCGAAACGTCGTAATGAATATGGCGACAAAGATGAGGACAATAGTCCGTATAATGTAAATAGTGTACATAATACCTCATCTCAGAAATATAGACAGATACTGAAAAGCCGAAACGTCGTAATGAATATGACGACAAAGATGAGGACAATAGTCCGAATAATGTAAATAGTGTACATAATACCTCATCTCAGAAATATAGACAGATACTGAAAAGCCGAAACGTCGTAATGAATATGACGACAAAGATGAGGACAATAGTCCGAATAATGTAAATAGTTTACATAATACCTCATCTCAGAAATATAGACAGATACTGAAAAGCCGAAACGTCGTAATGAATATGGCGTCAAAGATGAGGACAATAGTCCGAATAATGTAAATAGTATCGACCGATAAAGTGTAAATTCGTAATGCCTCATGTAGAAATTTATGACAACCTCTCTAGAGACAGGAATATTTAGAATTTATCAGTTCATTATTCTGGATATTTATTCCATGATTTCAGTCTTCTTACCGCCTGCGAAAGGCGTTCTGGTTAATCTGATGTTTATTATTATAGACATTTTCATAACCTGAGGCTAGTAACAATAAAATCTGTTTTGTCCGTGAGGTATAAACCATCACGAACAGAAATGCCATTGACTGTCTTCATTGGGACATATGCCTAATCAAAATGACGTTTATTACTCCTTATGGAAATATTTATGGCGATGCTCGGCTTTGGTATGTTAGCGCAATCGATTTAACAAATATTTTTAAGTGGCCTGGCAGTTTTTTGTCTCCAAAAATAGAAATTTTCCAGCACGCCGTACACGTTGTCTCAAACATGTCAGTGTGTTGGTTTGTGAAAAGTAGCTCAACAGTCAACAATATAGCGTCTAGCAACGTTCTTCTTGCATTTATTCCATCTCTGACAACTGCTCGCGAATCTGACCTATCCGTTGAGAATGTTCTTTAACGTCTAAGTTTCGCATTCATCATTTTTTTTTGCATGTCGCTGCTCAGAGAAATGACTGAGCCACACTATTTACTAGTAAGTATTCACGCCAAGTATAAATAAAAAAGATATGTAGTCGGTCTCAATGAGTCTAAAAAAAGAGACGTTAATAAATCTTCTTGAGTCTAGTGTAGTCAAAAATTATCTTAATAAGAGAAAAACTGAACTGGTAAACAAATAATTATAAATAAATAAACTAAAATATATAAAAAAAAATGTAAATTCATTCAATTATTTCTGGAACAGAAAAAAAATTCAGATTTAGATTTTATCTGCTTTTTTTCTTATCTTTCGATTTTTTATGGAGATGAGAAAAGTTTTTCATCGCCAAAATTTACGCCCCCCACACCTCAAACTTCTACAAATTCATAAAAATAAAACAATTAGTAAAAATGATAAAATTTTTTTCATAAAAATAAAGATAACTCCTGACGGGATGTCAATTGGAGGGCGATGAATCGCATGCCTAAAAAAAAAAGCCCTAAATCTATCCTGTCAGGGTCAGTTTATCAACAACTAAATGCAGGTTCACTGTCCTCCATTGTTTTATTTTTTTTTTTAATATCATGCAGTATTGATAGCAAAGTTATGAAAGTGAAAAGTCGCTACAATGTATAGAACATCACTTTTGTTAGTTTTGTGACAGCCTTTTGCATCCAGCGTTAATATTGTTTGCAAATGGCATTGATTATTGCCAATGTTGGAAACGCCATGAAATTGCATCGATTGTCTGCACTTTTTTGTCGTCTGGACTTTGTTTACAATGGACGTTTTAGACAAAACATTTTTTCTTCTTTTCATCAATTTTTTCCACAATTGTTATTTTACGTTTTTGTGTTATTTGTTTTTCTTCGTTTTTTCGTTTTTATTCAATTTTTGTCTTTATTTTTGTTTATTTTTCTTCGTCTTTCTTTCTTCGTTTATTTCAATTAAGCTTCACTTGTTTTCTCTTCTTCTTCATTTTATTTATAATTTCAAAATGTTTTTTTCTTCTTTCTTTTATCTATCCTTTCCTTTTCGTTTGTTTCTAGTCATTTTGTCTAGCTTTTTTCTTTCTCACTTTTCTCTTTTTCATTCAATCATTTCTTTTCTTTTTTTAATGTCTTCCTTCTTGATTTCTTGTTTTCATTCTTTCTTGATTTTTTTCATTCGTTTCTAGTTTTCCTTCTCATTTTCTATTTAATTTACTTTCTTTTCACTGTCTACTATTCTTCTTTCTTTCATTTTAATTTTACATTGGATTACATTCCCTCCTTCTAAACGACACTTTTTTCACACTTTTCTTTCCATAAGATTCCTTCTTTTTTGTTACTTTTTTCCAATATTCTGATCGTCTTTCTTTCTTTCTTTCTTTTTCTTTCTTTCTTTCTTTCTTTCTTTCTTTCCAATATTCTCTCCAAGTTTTTTCTTTCTTTCTAATATTCTCTCCAAGTCTCTTTTCTTTCTTTCTTTCTTTCTTTCTTTCTTTCTTGTATTCTCCTCAAGTCTTCCTTTCTTTCTATCATTCATTCCTTTCTCTTTTAATTCCATTCATATAACTCTGCCGTTCATTGTTTTAGGCTTTCCTAATCCGTATACAATTGTTTTCCTTTTCCTTCAGTTCATCTTTTTCGTTCACTTTTCCTATATTTCTTTCCTTCCTTGTAAACCACGATGTCTAATCTAATTCTCTGCTCGACTTAAATATTCGACCATCTGTCAGCCACGCATGCCTGTAATCTTTCGCGTTCGGCCATCGTATACCGTACCATTCACCGAATATCTTTTAACACTCGTCCAAACACCAGAAGACAGGCCACCACTTTTGAAAACCTGTTTTAGATTTGCTTATCTCTAATATATACGCACCAGACAAAACTCAGTTATTTCGGATACAAAATTAATGCTAGCGGATATAGACTCAGAAGGATTCCGGTGAGATATATTTCATTACTTACGTAACCAATTAAATTGTCTTATCATAGTTTACCCTGGATTAATTGCTGGAGCACACTTCGAACAGGGGATTGGTTTTCCTGATAGAAAAAGGGAATATAGATTCGATTTCTATCGAGACGCATATTTTCCATTACTAAGGATTTCTCGATTTGTAAGCCGGGAGAAATTAATTTCGAAGTTTAAAAGGAAAAAAAAAGACGTCAACTCGAACAGGTTTACTGACTAAAAATAACGTTTAGAGTAATGAGAAATATAGTGTTTCTCAAAGCCTTTATCGAGATCGTATGTCTGATCAGGCTGATCTTTAGAACTGGCACACATGATTTAAAAATGGCTGGCCGAGAACATTCACCATCATGTCATCCCCCAAAAAAGTAGTCTCATAGCTCTTTTCTCTTGAGTTCCCAGGACAACAATCTCTGGAATTCATTGAGAGGTAGACCACTGAAAAATACGAAGAATCCGAAGGACACTTTTTGGGGTGTGATGACGAAGAGTTATTTACAATCACTTGATCCAAACTTGTATTCATTTCCGAAGCTGTTTCAAAACTGTCCTCAAGCGAGCGAGAGGGCAGTTTTCTATTTTTCTAAGTTAAACAGATATGCAAATTCTATTCTGATATTTCAATTGAATATTTTGTTTTTCTTTATATTATAATTATTTCTCAATTACCTGGTGTACGCTGGACATACATTGGAACGATGCGCGCGTTTATCACCGACTTTAAATAAAAATTCCAGTTCCAAGGGCTTATTTTCGAAGTCGGCAGCACATGTAAAATTTCAGATAGAAAATATTTGTAAAAGGACAATATGAATAAAGCAAAATGAATACTTATCTTAGCCGATGTGTTTCGTCCTCGAGTTAATTTATCAAGGCAAATGCAAGGATTTTATTCTGTAACATGTCGACTGAAATAAACACTTGTTACAAAATAAAACCCTTACATTTCCTTTGATAAAGCACCTCAGAGGATGAAACACGTCGGCTAAGATAAGTTTTTCTTTTGTTTTTATTCATATGCATATTTCTATGTGTGTGTACATTGTATAAAATTTGCTTCATTTATAGGGAAACAGAGCTCAATATCGGACACAGAGTGTTTACAGATAAGTAATTTAGTGCAATGAAGCGCGTTTTAAACTGAGTCACCACATTCTTGAATCCTATGTTCAGGAATGGACTTTGAAGATGGAAGCCAGAGTATGAATGTTGGTACCATTACTGAAGGCCTGAATGATCTTTTTCCTCTCACCATTGCTCATATGGGAAGACATATATGGGGCTGACACAAAACGATTTTAACCTGTTCTCTTTCTAGCTGAATAACTCAAAAGGGTTTTTTCAGTGATTCTTACGACAAATGGTGTCAAGATGGCTAAAACGTCTTATCTGAAAACCTGGAAAAAAAACTCATTTAGTTTTTTTTTTTTTAAAATATTAAACATTTTGTGGGATGGACAATTATCCCATATATATACATGATTTGGACAATTTTTTATATGTTACACCCAACCTATATATATATATATTTATATAATATATATCTATTCTATATATATATTATAAGAATTGCCTTGTTGTCCTTTATCTTTTTCAATATTTTTATGATGTTTTGGACTGTCATTCCTGATAAATCTTTTCCAAAAAATATATACTAAATTGAGTTGGATTAATTTTTTTAATCTTTTAGATACAAAATTTTTTTGGACTTGAGAAAAATAAGCAAAATATTTTAAAATATTCTTTTTATCATGTAGAAAAAAACATATTTATAAATATTTATTTATGATAAATTTAAATTGGTAAAAAATATTTTTTTGAATGGTCTTGGAAGTATTTTAATGATGGTGTAATTTTTTTTTTGGAGTCATGATTTTTTTGTTTCAGGTATAAAAGTAAAAAGATGTACTGGCTAAAAATTATTTTAACCTTTCTTTTTTTAGCTGATTTTACAAAGGGTTCATTAGTAATTCATACAAATGGTTTTTTAAAAAAATAGTAAAAGCTGTAAAAGAATTTAATTAGTTTAATTTTATATATAAAAATTTTTACATTGGTATAAAAGTTGTTTCGAACGTAAAAATCCTTTTTGATGTAATTATATATAAAGAAATAAAATTAAAATATAAAAAATTTTCTTTTTTCTTTACCAAATTTATTTTTTCATTTAAAAGAAATTTTTAAATTTATAAATTAATTGATTAAAAAATTAAAAAAAAAAATTAAATCAGTTTTAGTTCAAAATATTTTTGATAAAAATTTAATTAAATAATTAAATTTAAAAATTGTATTTAAATTTATTTCTTTAATAATATTTTTTACATTGAAAAAATTAAATTTAAAAAATTTGTTAGTTTTTTTTTTCATATGTTTTATGTATAATTTTTATGAATTTATGGAATTGAATGAAAATGGTTACAGGCTTTTGTTTTAAAATTGTTTAATGTTAATAAATTGAAATGAAAAAAAATGTCTGTTTTGATTAGTCTTAAAAATATTATTTTATCATATTTTTTTTTATATAATTAATTTATAGTCTAATGTTAATTATGTTTTTTGTGGAATTATGTTGAAGATGGTCTAGACAGAGAAAAAATAACCGACATTGACATTATATAATTTTAAAACAAATAATATATTACTATATTTTTAGGGATTTTGTTTGTTTTTTCAGGCTATTCTTTTTATATATATATATATATATATCGTTCATGGTCCGTATAGACGTCCGTTTTTGAAAATTGAAATCAATAATAAAACAGAATATATATATATATATATATATATATATATATATATATATATAATATATATATATATATATATAAATACTATAATTGTGTCCCTTAGAGTCTGTATAAATATTTTTTTTTTATTTATTTTGATATTTTTCTTTTTAACTTGAATTTTTTAAATTTATGTTTTATTTTTTTTTACTCTTTGAAACTAAATAAAAGTTTAAAATGATTAAAATTTAAAAAAGATTTTTTTTTATTAAATTTGTTCTTTCATTGATCTAGAATTAAGATTCCTTTTTTTATACTCTTTGTTATTGCATTGACCTTTTAAAATATAATGGACCATTTTCATTTTTGTAACTGTCCTTTTTTATTACTATTTTTCATTTTATTTATATTTCTTTTTAAAATCATGTCTGTGAATTTAACTATTATTTTCTCCATCTTATCTTAAATAGTTTGACATGTTCGCAGATTGAACAAATCAATTAATGAATTCCAATCATTCCTTTTTTTGAAAATATAAAAAAATGAAGAAAAAAAAAAAAACAAAAAAAATTTAAAAATTTACTTATCATGCATTATTTTTCTTTTTGAAGTTTTGTCTGTTGAGGGGTGTCTGATAGTATTTGAAACAAATTTAAGACAATAAGAAAATTGCAAAGTTTTATTTTTATTTTTTTTCGCCGGATTTTTGTTTCGCTTTATTTGAATAAACTGAAAAAAAAAAAATAAAAAAAATTGCAAAATCGTTAATAAATTTCAAAAAAAGTTGTATTATAATATATTAATTATTTTTGAATTTAGTCGATTTAGAGAGACTTAAAAGTACACATCTCATATGCTTGTCTTTTTGTTCCTGTTAAATGGGTCTTTTTGATGCATATTATTGAATGTTTTAATTTTTATTTATATAAAAACTAGTCTCATGCTTTCTAATTTTCAAAATTGAAAAAATGCTGAGTTATTGTGTCTGAGTTAAAATTCTGTGTGTCTTTTTTTGTTTGTTTGATATCTAAATTACAGTAAAATAATACACTGTGTTTTATGTAATTTTGATAATGTCTGTGTGTGTTTGTGTCTGAAATTCGTATACGTTTTTGTGTATTCTATTTTGTAAATTGTGTCAGGTTGTTTGATGATTTTTAGATTTTTTTGTACATAAATTTATTAATTACGTTGAATACATATTACAACATTTTCATGAAATTAAACATAAAATCTTTAGCCATTGATGTTTTTTGTTTCATGCGCAGCACAATCCGGTTTAACGTCCCTTATCTTTTTTGCCATTTCCCATAATTTTAGATCAAAATATAAGTTTCTTTTTCCTTTATTTGCATTCAGTTGGCCTTCTTCCGTTGATTTTTTGACATTCATATAATATTCTTGGAGTTTCACATTGAAGTTTTAATCAAAGGCGAATAAATTTTCAAATTTTTCAAATTTCTGATTATTGTGATTAGATTTTTTATTTTAATTTAAAATTTTTTTTTTTAATGTTAATCTTAGATTTAAAAAATTCATTTTAACATCCGTTTTCAAATCTCTTTGCATTCACTTTTATTTTTAAATCATTTTTTTCCATGAAATTAAATTGTTATTTTTTTATAAATTTATTCCAGTTTTTTAAAATTTAATAAAATTTTCCTGGAATTATTAGTGCCATAAAATTGAGAAGAAATTATCAAGATGTTACAAGAAATCAAAAAAAATTAAACATACAGAGTGCGAATGCTATTTGAGGATATTGTTTTAAGTTCATTTTACATCAAATAATTTATATTATGAGTTTAGTTTTAATTTTGTTTTGAGGAAGAAATGAAAAGACACAAGATCATTGTTTTTAAATCAAAACATAGTGATTTAAAAATCAGAAATTTTATTTTGCCAGAATCATTTGTTTGTAAGTTTTTTTGGGTCTGAATATTTGAGATGTCATGTTTTCTTTAAAAAAAAAAAAAAAAAAAAAGTTATTT